ACATTTTAGAAGAAATCCGCCATATTCTATAAATTCATAACTTCAAAGACGCCTTTTCATTGATCGAATTTGTGACCCACGTGCATTTTAAAATCGGCTCAGTGAAATCGGACCTTGATGTTTCCGATACTATTTTTTTAATGGGGAAATGTTATTCTACGCAAATACCACTCATATATAAATGTCCAAGTTTTAAATATGTTTTTATTTTTATTTTGACATAGACATGACGAAAACCTATATTTGTGCTGTGCCTTTCTTTCAAAAAGGTAGAAAGCAGGTTGACTTTTAAGCTTCTAAAGAAGCAGCCTGATTCACTTTCATACAATTTGTGACCTCACTTAGCTATGTTTAGGTAATGATTGCGATGAGGGTAATTTTGGAATATTCTCCACCATTAGCACTTTTGGACAATGTATACGAGGTTAAGAATCCTTTATATGGAACAAATTTCATTAGACCTGTTATCATTATCATTTTTCGTAAGAAGACTAAAACACATGATATTGCCAACATATACATCTTCTATGTAACAGAACCACAATATCTATGTCAAGAATATTCGGGCCATATTGGAGTGGTGTAAAAACTAAAATAGCTACAGTTACACAAATTTTGGTTTGAAATGTTTACTTCCGGTTTGACTTTTTTATCAAAGAGTTTAGAAAATTTCCTATACAAAATACTATGTTTAATGATTATTGTATTAAGACCCCAAAAAATTTTAATTTCAGTTGCGGCTATTCTTTAGAAGCTCATAACAATCCATCAAATTGCATTACGCGCAAAAAATCATGATTTATTTTTCAGACCTATAGACGTAGGCCCAATATAAAGGAATTTCAAAACCTCACCTTTTTGAGTTGCTCGCTTAATGTGCAATTTTTTATACTTTACCCTTTTCTCTTTACTACGTTCCACTTTGATTGACGCAAATAGACTGAACATTTTATTATTTTATGAGATTTGGTCTTCCCTCAAAATGACTTTATATAGCAAATTATGGACATTAGAAGACATAATGATCTCATTTGCCATCAACAAAAAACGTCAACTACGCTGATGGCATTGTAAGGAACTTTATTAATTAAGGATGTTAATTTAGTATCAGACCATTCTCGAAAAAGTTAGATCGAATCACCAGTTCAATGCATATAGCTAACTGTGAAGATCCAAGCAAATACTTAATGAATGAGAAAGGTAAGATGAATGGCCAATAGTGGCAAATAACACTGATAAACACAGGATTTGTCACATGAAAATTTTTGGGTGTATCTTATGTATCCATAGCCCTCCAAAGTTGAGGGATTGAAGAGATTTTTCACAAAAAAATGAAATTAAGATTTTTTGCGTTGATTTCTAATGAGCTCTGTTAAAAAGTGACATAACCATTGCTAAAACTAACCATTTAGCACATCTCAACAAAAATCAGAGCCCTAAACATAATGGTTTAGTTGTGATCGCGATTGAAAGTTCATTATCCCATTTTATTTTCGAAATTTCAGGAAGCTGCAAATATCTTCTGAACTATAAAATTTCGGACCACACATATAGGGGTTCATTTGATAGGTTTTGAGGCCCGCTATCATCTGACTTCCGTTGATCCACTACTAACTTTACACCCTGTATATGTACCGTGTCTCTAAGGAAATAGCTGTGTCTGTAACTATAAATGTCTATAAACTAGCCAAGAAAACACTTTAACCATACATACTTTATGCATTTATCAATTGTTGAAATAGTATTAATTTTATATTACTATTATTTGTTAGGAGAGGAAGCAAAGGCGAACACAGATATTGGGTTGAATCACACTAACTTGGAGGATTAAACGATAAATGATATAAAAAATAATTACATTGGATTGCATGGGAACATCATTTCTTAATTTTTAACAATGTCTTCTTCTGATTTAGAATTGGCACAAACTTTAGAGATTAAGTTACTGTTAAAGATCGATTATCAGTAACACTAAGGTTCCTCGAGGACAGTTTTCAAAGCTCAATGTACTTATATTAAGACTAGCAAGGCGAAAATAGAGAACACAACACGACCGTCGTCAGTAAATAAACTCGTTTCAAAACACGTCTAATTCTTTTGAGGTGACCGCTTCCGAGCGGGACACGGTAAACAAAAAACCGCCATTCCAGTGAATTGGAATCAAAAGGAATCGGAATCGTGAACGAATGGAATGAATCGATTCCGAGGCCGGAAAAGAGACGGTTGAGCCCAGCTCTACTACCAACAGCACACTAATTAGAGATCGAAGGTGGCCATGGCCAGAAGCCACAGCATCTTTGTTTCTGTCGATTCCTTCCACGATACACATACACTGATTCCTTCCGCAATTCGTCAGATGGATCGTCAGCCTACTTGCACACACACCGAATTTAGACGGCCGGTAAAATATCGACCGATTTTTTATCGGTAGGCTCTGCTTACACACGCGCCGGTTTTTTACCGGTGCAGTGCTGATTTCCAATATTATTCTTAATGAATCTCCAACGAGTTGTTGCAATAGTTACTGTACCAGCGTATAAAGCGAAAGTTCTGGATTCATTTTTCTCTTTGGACGCCATTTCTTTAAAATCCTCATTCAGTTCGCAGCAAACTTGGCTCCATGCTTCTCTAGTAGCGTTTCTGCCTTTAAATATGTATAAAGTTTTATCCCATAAAACTCGCCTTGCTTCTACTAGCGCAATAAGTATGTCATTACCGATGTTCATCTCTTTATCCATTGTAAACGTATCTGCAGACGTAATCACGGCCGTTAAATAATACTTGAGTGTACAAGCTCCTATTCAAACACGTATGCCTCTATATTCCCGGTACCGGCGCATGACAGTGACAATGTTCGGCGGCTAACCGGCTTTTTTCCGGTGCCGGTCGGTGGTCGGCCAGTGTGCAAGCTTCAATGCCCTCCACTGGTTTACTATTAAAATGTAGTCGGCCGATATTTTACTGGCCGTCCAAAATCGGTGTGTGTGCAAGTAGCCTATTGTTCTCATTGCTGCCGTAGATGAAAGCTGACTTGTAGCCGGAAAGCAACCACTAAGTCCATGTGCGTCATTATTAATCACCTATATGAAAATATAAAAACTCGGACCGCGCGATGCAAATCGTTGTCATTTGGTCACCGTATATAGAAATGGCCGCCAATCTGTACAATGGATATTTAACATATATGAGTATCCACAGTTTCTGTTGGGTAACGCAAAACTACAGGAATTGCTTTCATGCAGATAACATCCTTTTTTGAATAACGTTATACCAAAAAGTAGTTATATCAAGGGAAGACACTTAGTGGAATGCCTTTAGAATCCGCTAGTTGGCCGCATTGATCTTGGGAGTTTTCTCCATTATAGCAGGGAAACCGATCGCATTTTTTTTTACATCATCGCATGCTGATATGATACGATCCTACGTAGTTTGATGCTAAACAGCATATTCGGTAAGTTTAAAAATACGTAAGATGTGACTAGATTTTGATAATCCTTATCAGTACAGGATGTAACCAAGACTTTGCACTAGGACTAATACTGGCTTGCAAATAAAAATAGCGACCTATGTCCTTGGTTTGGCGATTCGCTCATCTCTGCATGTACCGAGGCGGTGTTGCCATAAAATGTGTAGAAAACGCTATATTTATACTGAGCTGAATGGAGTTCATTTCTATTGGAGGTTGCGTAAAAAACTTATGCGAAATATTTTTTAAACATATAATCTTAGGACCAAGCTGTCTAGATAACTGTCAGTCGTGTCAAGTAGAGCGACGATGGACAAATAATCAATTTGAGAACACTTTTGAATTTCAAGCTGACGTTCCTTTTTGTCTATTAAACTGAATCGTGCAATATTCCACGTAAGGCCCTAAACGTTAGATAGCTATCTGATAGCTTACAGCAGCTTTTGAGAATAACTTTTCTCGCAAAAAGGGTGATTTATAACTTTATTGAATGAACAATAAATTTTGTCGGCTGCCAACGGATGATGAACATCCCCATCATGAAAAAATTTCAAAACAAAGGTAAATTTGAACAAAAATTCCGTTCACTGATAAGATGTATAGTATATACTGGCAAATAATCATTATTTTAATAGACGACAGATATGATTCGTGATATTAATTGCTCAAGAGTAATTAATCAGTAGCATCATATGTATATTTGATTATTAATAATCCATGAACAAAAAACCTCAAATCTCCATTTCAACCTCTTGCGCTAATGCTGGTAATTTGGAACAACAGCGTTTGTTTCTTCTTAAACTAGTACACAAAAGTTTAGTATGATTTTTATCTTATTTCACAATGCAATCAATATTTTCAGATGACCCATCACGATTTTGTTACTATATCTCATTAGGATTCGTTTTTAAAAACAAGATTTATTTAGTGAAAGGATATCTTTTATTTCATCTGATTTACATGGGGACTACAGAAACAATCAATGCGATTTACTGTTATAAACAAAGATCAATGGAAAATTCTGAAATTCCTATAGGAGGACGACTGTTGTCATTTCTGATAAAGTTACCGGTAAGTGCGGAATAGCCAAAGGATAAAAGTGGCGTATGAAGCAAACAACATACAGAGTGATCCAGAAAAACGTGGTATAGGCATAGAGGAGAACAAAAAATAACATGAAAGGCTCATACCATATAAATATTTCCACACTTTTCTGAATCACCAAGTAAAAACTTAAATTATACGAGTATATTGAACTTTTTTTTGATTCCAGGTATATATCTGTCTGGTAAATTGCTTGACATATTTAGACTGGACTTACAAACTAATAGTTGAGCCACCATATTCACAATTTTATGGGACAAGAACGCTAAGTAGAACAACTAAGGAGAAGGTTAACAGACATGCTAACATAGTAAAGATACTTCTAATAATCAACTTGGTACTCATGCCAATGGTCTGTGGCCTAGCTAGTGTAGACGAGTTTGGGAAAAGGTTTGGTGAAGTTTTTTTTACCATAGACCACTGTATTGGCATAAGTGGGCATTACATCCATAACGTAATGTCATATGGTGATGGTTATATAGTAGCATTAATGACAGTTATCGTATTTTCTATGACTGGTAAAGCTGTATTACAATTCATTATTCTTGGGGAATATGTGGAGCAATTCTTCATCAATAATATGAGCAATATAGAAGATGAAATATACCAGGAAAGGATTTTTCGCGCAATGAAGTTTGTGGCAGTTCATTACCGTACGATACTGAGGTTCGTAGCTCTTCGCATCGATTTATTTAATGTATGAGAGAACACAAAAATAATCAGTTCATTTAAACTGCAAACTTATCTTATTAAAAAAGGACCCCTTTGAACGAATCTGCATGTTGCCAGGCCCAAAATTACGCCAAAAACAGCTCAATCAATTTGTTAAACAAATTCCAATTTTTTTTCTCTGACCAAAGTACAAAATATGTCATTTTCGACCTCAAAAACAATATGAAAAAATCAAAATTTAATTGTTTCCAAAGTTAATTAACAAATTCGAAAAGCGCATGACGGGGTACTGTTACTAGTATTATAAACATTTGTTTTTTAATTGTTAATCAACCGCATGTTCAATGCATATGGGTGATCTCGATTACGTCACATATAACCATTTTCAACCGTTTTTAGGCTCAACAGGAACATTCTGGATGTCTGGAAATATTGTGTGCTGCAGGTTTTACTTATTGGAGGAATTTCTATTTTTTTATATATGCTCATTATGATTGGGGTGAGACGACACACATACTCGTACATACAACTACATTCAGTTACTGATTTTGATTTGGTTTACAGGATGTTAGTCCTAATATTGCAAAATGGAAGGTGATCGCAGGATGTACTGCTGTTTTGTATAATACTATATTATTATCTCATTTTGGACAAAGTTTTTCCGATGAGGTAGTTTTTATGATTTTCATTTATTTATATCCAACCATGTGAAAATCATGCTTTTTAGTCAGAGAGATTCTTCAGCAGCTTATCCAATGTACCGTGGTACACTTGGGATACGAAGAATAAAAGGATGCTTTTAATACTGCTACCTAATCTAATAAAGCCGGAAGTCATTGGTTTTGGTGGAATTGTAGACCTCAACTACCAGCTAATCCAAACAGTAAGTAATCTCTTGCAGACAATGTCTAATAGATAAGGGAAAAAAATAATTTGATCCTGGCTCTGATACGGGATAAATTCGTGGCTACAAGACTCGGAGTTGTCAGGAAAAAAGGCAGTTATTATCAAAATGACTTCAGTGCAGCTCCTGGATTATCGTGCTATCCAATCTGGGAGCAGATCTGCATTAAAAATACACATTAAATAGTATTTTACATACCTGTTGATTGGGTAGTGACGGAGGAGATGTACGAGACTAATAATGGCCTTCTCAAGCTTGGTATAGAATTTTTTTCACTACTATACTCGCTTTTATTAGATTCAGATATATTCGCTTATTAGCGTTACATTTTTGCTCTGAAATATCTGGTTACCTGCTGTCAGACTGACAATCACAAATAACTAGATTTTGGAAGTTTGGACCAGATTATTTATCATTTTCAATGGGAGTAATTTGCTCACGTTTTTTCGATAATCTTATGTTTCTGCTAGCTTTAAAAACAGTTTTCAATATCATCCCGACTGTAGAAGATCAAGAAGAGTAGCTACATAACAAGTTATAATCAAGCAATTCTCAGTTGCATTCAAATATTCAGAAATATATTTAGTTGTTCAACTGAAGTGATAAAGTCAGCAAAATGCAATTTTAAACGAAATTCATTATTAACCTAGGTGTTATTTAACCAAGGATAATAAAGCTACCTGCCAAAAGCACACTGCGATCAATAAAGGCGATTTCTCGGATCAGTAGTAAAAAAAATGCTTATTTGTGGAAACTTATTTCGATAGCACTTGACAATAACGGGCTCTGAGCATCTAAAAAGACCGTAATATTCTTTTACTTTCAGTTCACAAGAGTGGTTTACAAAGCGGCATGCATTTCACACAGCATCAGTCAAAAGTAGGAAAAGCTTCGAGATGGAACAAAGAAAATGTTAAACTTCTTCTTAATACATTATATTTTATACTTTTATGTATAGTACATGTGTTTTTCAATTTTGAAAGTGAGAGCTATAATAGTTAATATATTATGTATAACTCTATAATAATTTATTTTACAGATATACAATTAATAATTGAATGATTACTTTTCTGCAGATAATATACGAGTAACAAGTCTTACTATACCACTTACGTTACCCTTTGTCGTCTTTTCACTTGATTAATTTACTTGCAACAATACAATATATAGTTAACTGATTCATTTGTTTGTTGTTTGGCATAAAATTGCATGATCAAACGAACTTACTGTAAGTGATGTTCGATCTTGATTATGTGAGTCGAAGTAAATATTTAGAATACATAACGTAGTGCCCTCGTAGCGCACCAAACCCACGAGTACAAAGCGTGCACGTAGCGAAAGGAGCGACCTACCGTACCTGTCTGTCTCCTTTTCCAGCCTATCAATTCTCATTTTCTTCAAATCCAAGTTGTTGCAACAATTGGGTGAAACCTAGGGAGCGAGTGCGCTATTTACTTCGACGAGAACTTCACATAATCAAGATCGAACATCACGTACAGGTAAGTTCGTATGATCATGTAATTTTCTTCCGCCCTCGTCGAAGTAAATAATATTTAGAATACATAATGTAGATGTTCAAAGCTAGTTGCAACAACATACTACTAACGCTCTGCAATAGTAAACGATAGGTTGTACATAACTGCACAAATTGTACGCAATTTATGTGCCAACTAAATGTACATTTCCATTATACGAGTAACAACTCAAGTTAGGGCTTTTAACAACAGGCTGTCAGTTGTGACACATCTAGATCACTCTCTGCTGTAACCCACTTTATCCATCTGGGTGCAGAGGCATCATGATAAAGTTACTTTATAGTGACAATAAGTACTTTGGCTGCACAGATATTTGGGCGTAAATGCGGTAAAACTAAAACTGGTTGCCACAAGAGTGGCCCCGAGACTTCGAAAAACTGAGATATCCCCATTTCAATATTATTCAACGCGATCCGGATGTTGTCTGTTTTTTAGTTTGCACATTCTGACCTGAGGTTAGGGTTAGCAGTGTTGCTGATTTCGTCATCCAAATATCTACAGAGGTGACCAGCAACCCCTTTGGTTGGTTGAGAACAGCCACAGTATCTATATTTCGGTTAAGATGGCCTCAGCCTGTAAATGCTCTTCAAAAACCATCTAATGCCAGCATCGCTAGAAGCATCTTGGGTAAAAGACTGGCAGTTCAAACAATTATATCTTAATGTCTTATCTCACTGTAAGGTGAGAAATATCAAGGTAGGAAAACAGACATTTATTTCTTTCCGACAAAGGTCCTACCGTAATCTAAGCCCACAATGATATGATCGGAATGACAGCTTTCCAGTGACATCAACCAGGGTAAGCATCAGAATTAGTGGGAGCAACATCCTGCGTCCTCCATCAGAGCTTTACATTACTTCTAGAAGCGAAATTTCAGGTGTAGGTCCCACTCCGTTTCCACGTCCTACTAACGCAAAAGCTCATCTGAATCAGTATTACTCCTAGATTTTATATTTGACGCGAGGGCAGTTAAGATTTCTCTTTAGAAGCTTCCCATTCTATTGATGTAGGATATAGTTGTCGCATTATCAATGGGGTATAATATTCGATAGCCCATCAAGTCGGGAGCAAAGCATTCACAACCGAAGAAAACTGGCAGTAGATCTAGATGATTGCGGGATCTTCTTCTTGAGAAATTATACAACTAAAAATTGGATTTGAGCACCAGACGAGGTAGATGTTAGTGACATATTAGCGTTAAAATTCCCTTGAGCATTTTATAGGCAAGAAATTTCATTCGTTATTGTATAGGCGGCTGCAACGAAATGGAAGATAGGCTGACACTAAGATGCCGATACTTACCGCAAAGTATCGAACTCTTCTTAGTTGCTCTCCACAATTTACCCAAAACGGTACAGCATTGTATTGGAAGAGCTGTCCCTTGAATATGAATCTGAATTACATTCTATGAATATCCCTTATGAGTACCAAAATCTGTATATCCCAAATCCAGATTCGTTAAGAAAGTGTCTCTATGTAGAAGTCTGATCCCAGTTCAATAGCCTTCTAACATAAGTGGTCTATCCCTATAAACAGACTAAGTGTCTCGAGGTAAGGAATCAAACGTGTTGACCCATCACACTTGGGGGCAAGAAAAAGTTGGATAGGCGCTCAACTTTTTTACTGATAGCACTGCAGCTATGCAACTGAGAGACCGTCGAAGGTCGATACGACTAGTTCATAGATGGACCACTCCTAAAGTTCTGATATTGATGATGAATACCCATTTGCAATAATGGGTGATGGCTGATGTTGTCAGTCCGTTGTCCGGACTTTTGGCCTTCAGTTACTGCTCATATTTATCTGACTTCTATTTAGAATTGTCTTACTTGGTCAGATCTACACCGAAGAGTTATCAATGGAATCCTCTGTTAGAGTACTCCTGAGTTCTTTGCTTCTTCCCTTTCTTTGAACGTAGAGGAGAGACTATTGCCACTTGCAGTTAATAAACATGATGTCGCTAATATGTCACTAACTTAAGATCTACCTCGTCTGGTGCTCAAAGAAAGTGGCAGATGCGGTAATAGGTAATGGGGAGCTTCTAGTTTCCACGTCTGGACCAGGTTGATGGAGAGCTACGCCAGTTGTGTAAAGAGTGAAATCTTAACTGACCTCGCGTCAAACATAAAATCTAGGAGTACTACCGACAGAGTGTCTGAAATTGAACGGACGTCAATTGACAGCATGCCTGAGCATAATGCGCAATCGGTTCTTACTTTAAAAATTGCACTTGTGAAGGGGGAATTCGCTTTGCCCGGATTTCACCTAATGACTTGTTACAGCTCTTTATATCGATATGTTTCTATTGAAGAGCTATCTTTGTTTAGTGGACTGTCTGATGTTCGCAGAATGGACCTACAATACCGTTGCATATAACCGGTTTTATGGAGTTCAAACACTGAGCGATGCAACTAAAAAGAACATTTATAACTGATACACTAATAGTAATTGGTGCCAACATTGCAAGCTGCGTTGATAACTCCGGAAAGAGATTGGGTGAAGTTTTTTTTTAGTATACAGTTACCTTCATATTAATGGGTACTATATCCATATCATGTTAATATGTGTTGAGGGATTTTGCTTATCGTTAATAGTTATAACGGTATTTTACTTGAGCAGCCAAATAAGATTGCAGTTTGCCATTGTTGAAGAATAGTGGTTTGTTCGTACAGCCTGTTTGCTGACAATCAGCAAACTGATAGTAGTTTCTTTATAGCTTATCCCGTGATTCTGTGATGATGGTGATTTACCAGTCTGCACCTCTTGTACGCACAAAACCTAATACAGGGAAAAAGGGATGTGCGTAAAAAGTTATAAGCAACCAAAATCTATGTCAGTCGTGTACCGGATTGCTTAAGCGCATGCTTGGTATGGAGCATAAAACTACATACATTACACAGAATTTACTTTTTTAGCTTTATGTTGGTTCCAGATTCTTTTCGGTAAAAAAATGTGGAAATATATGAACCATCTTAAAATCGTGGAAAATTGGGATGTTTTCGGTATTTCGGTAGCTAAGGTCTCATTTCGGTAGAAATACCGAAAATTCGGTAGACTCGGCAAGAATGCCAGTCGCTGTGCGTCTAATCCCGTCCCACAACAATTTTTGTCTTGGCTATGGATGTTGTGATTGTTAGTAGGTGGTAGACCATAATACTATAACTGGAAAAAGTATATACACTTTGTTCGAATTTCGTACACCGTCGCGCATGATGTCACTCGGTGACAACTGTTCCGCTTGTCGGTAATAAATGCATTTGTATTAGAGCGTTTTCTTTTCAATATTTGGAATATCATTTTTTCAAGATATAGATTTTTACATGATCACTTTATGTATTATATAGAATAGTCTGTAGTATATTAAGGTGTATGACACGTTTTTGCAGGAAAATACAAAATTTATGCTAATAGCTAGGCCGAATTTGTCGGGTGGCACCACTGTTGACCAAAGACGCGGGAACATGGTGCATAAATCACCAATATGAAATACCGTACGAATGTTCCTTGTACGACGTTGTGACGCAACAAATATCGTGGTCTCGTCGAACGTCTGAAGCTTCCACGCTGATGAAATTCCTTGTTTTTCTGCCCACTAAATGGAACCACATATGGAGATATGATTCTTTATTGACGTTTTGACCACCCCACTGGCCCTTTTCACTTTTAAATACACAGAGTTTGATTCTAAATACCGTTAAAATATATACACTTACGTAACTTGAACTTTTTAGCCTTAAGAATTGTATTTTATCCATAGGACACTAACCTCAACATTCCAAAATCGAAATGGATGTTATTATACGCTACTGTTATGTATAATCTAATCATACTCTCGCACAAGGGGCAAATTTATACTACTAATGCGCTTAATTGTTTTACATTATAAATTATCTGTTGCGAAGGTAACGTTTTACGCTTTGCACAAAACGGTTATACGTGTAATTTTTATTTTTCAGGCCAGATTAAATCAAGATTTTAATAGCTGATAACTTATTTTGAACCCTTTGCACCTAACTGGAATTAACCTTTATTTCCACACACCATACAGCTAAAAGGTATGTATGGCATGATTGAAATAATGCGCCGTAAATGCTATACTCTGGCCGTAAAAAATGATATATTTTTATATGGGGCTGCGATCATTGAAATTATTTTTTTATTACATGGTAAACATATTCATGCCAGCATAGAATTCTTATCTATCATTTAACCTAAATATTTTATGCATGCTATCTGCTCAGCTTTAGCGTCATTAATTTAATGTAAGGCATAACTTAGTTTACATTTTTTCGTATGAACATCATAAACTTGTCATGTAACACCAGAACCGACCACTGCGAAAGTAAAATCAGGCTGATTGTTGGAACTGTATCCCAGTTCGCACTGTGCTCCGGGTAACCACTGTGACCGCTAGATGTCGCCGGTTCTGGCTTTATAATAGATGCGGTCTATCCGC